AAAGTATTTAACTTATAATTTCGAAAAAAGACGATATCCAAATCGAATCCGCATTTACGATACGAAGACTTCCGGCGTGACCTCGGGTCGGTTGCTGAAAGAAATCCGTTGAACTGGTGTACAGTGAGCTCCAAGTACGGGTCAGAACAAGCGAGGTAGTATGTGAATACAGGCAAATTTCATGGCTTAAAGACGCGAAGACTAATCTCTAATGCGACTTTCTCGGTTCTATAGGGATGTGAGAGAAGAGTCATGACTAAAATTTGGCGCTGGTAAGAAAATTCGAAGACGTACGAGGTTTCAAAGACTCGTGATGGCTCGCTTTTGGATCCCAAGTTTCCAACCTTCTCTTATTTCTTACTGGTGGGGGAAAAAATCCTTAAAACGGGCTAAATTCAAAAAATAACCACGCAGAGCGAAAGAAGTGCTATTTCTCAATGATAGGATAAAATTTCGAGGCTTTATTTCACGTTTTGATGATTTTATTGAAATGTTTGATGATTCCCCATACATTTCCTTATAACAGGACACCACAGAAACCAAGCTTGGGCTACCTGTGTGTAAATAGGCCTTAAGAATCCCCAATTCATTACAAACAAAATCAAATCAAATCAAAGATTTAAAGAAATTCTTATGTTAGATTTGGAGAAATCGCACGAAATGTCATACTCTCAGTTTTGTTTATCACTTTTGCGCACTCGTTTTAAAAAGTTACTATTGAATAAAGTTATTCAAAAATATCCTAAAATGTTGATGTGACTCTTGTTTTTATACTGTGTAAGTTTGGTCAATTATTTCCTAGCTGGTCTTGAGAACGAATTTTTTTTCGAAGAGCGTTTTTAAGTAAAGATTTAGCAAATCTTCGAAGTTTTGCGTTTCCACCATTAGTTATATAAAATCAAGTTACTCTCATAAAAAAACAACAACAACAACAACAAACAAACAGACAATAAATATAACTAATGGTTTGCACCATATAAAATACAAAAATCGAGCAAGAACAATCACGAAGGAATCTACTGATAGTTGTCAGGAATGTGTTAGTATAAACTTATCAACCGCGAAAAGAGACTGTAGAGTCCTTGCCTTGTGACTTCCCAACTTCAAGGGCCATTTCAAAAATATTAGAATGAATCAAGTGACATGAGCTTTTGCAGGTACAGATTATATATCCTTGAGAAGACGCAGCTAAATTTGAAAAACAATTGTTTGAGCCGTTTATGAGAAGTCGAACAAAAATCCCTACAAAAATCTATTTTTTCATGTATTAGAAAAATTAACTTTTCCTAAAAAGTTGATATAACCTAGAGCTTTAGGAGTTTTTTCGAATAAGCTATTGAAAAATAGAGTCCCGTGTAAGATTTGAGGGTTTTGCCCTGTTGAAGCTCAAAACGTGTTTGGTTCCTCGAATAAAATCTTGTAGATTTTTCAGCGGTTTTTGAGCGCGCGCACATCGTGGGCTCAAATCGAACGTTCAAAAGTATGCAGTCACCTTAAGATTCAACGCCTACATACTACCTTAATATGTARTCAATTCAAAAAATGTTGTCGTCGAGCAACTCAAGCCTACGCGACTAGACCGAAAGGAACTATGGGTAGTAATCATTGAAGCCGAGTTGACTGCATAATTTTATCTGACTAGTTATGCCTGGTTTACAGCACGAACGTTCGTAGGCGAGCGGGAAGTGTTGAAGGAGACGTTTTTTAAATGCCTTCATATTTTCGAAATTGTGAACTGAATCATAACTACCTTGTTTTTCTTTCCCTAAACCCAAAGACATGCATTTGATRGATTKTTTCTYGCCATYATTATCTTATYACYAGCGGGAACAATTTATTCAGAACGAATATTTAAACCGCTTCAGTGATTTTTACCCATATTTCTTTCGGTCCAGTCGCGTAGGCTTGAGCCAGTCGACGACAACGTTTTTTGAATTGACTGTATATATTTAGGCACTGCCTAAAAGCGGAGCAGAAAGTCACAGGTAGCCCAATTTGAATGAATCAGAAAGGTAAAAATAAGATTTGGAAAAAATCGTTAATTATTTTATATTCGAGATGAAGATAGTATCTCCCATAATAAAAACCATGCATTGAAATCGAATCGAAATGCACAACGTTGCAAGAAATTTTGTACACAACTCACCACTAATAATATAATAATAATAACTTTATTTATATAGCGCACATATCCTGTGCTCATGGCGCTTTACAATCTTAAAGATAAAGATAATTATTTACAAATCATATATACCTATCCAGCTGGATGTATATGTATATAAATGATACTTGATAAGAAAACTGGTAATAATAATAATAATAATAATGATAAAAGATAATCGTCAAAATAAACCCGTCAGAGTACCCCCCATTCAGCCTCCACCCCGCGTTAGTGTAATAAATTACCTATTATTAAAAAACAAAGAGCCACTATTTATAAATTCTGTCAAAAGATAAGTCTTGAGGGTCCTTTTGAAGCTGTCTACAGAACCTGATTTACGAATAGCTAACGGCAGCGTTTTGCGATAGCGGAGCACCATAATTAAGAAAAAATGGTAAACCATCGAGTTGATTTTTCATGGCTTGGCTGACGTCACTTCCGTCCGTCCGTCCATCCGTTTACACAACACAGGAAAACCGCTTGATGTCAAAGCAAAACTACTCACAAATGCGGCTCTCAAATGCACAGGAAAAATCGCTTTAGGACAAGTTATAGACCAAAAACAATTTTA